ACTTGGGTGGACGCGGGTGACTGAGGCGGTAGGAGACCGGGGAAACCAAGTGTTGGAGGACCTGAGGCCAGTCTGAACTGGACCGGAGTGGGCAGAAGACGACTTCAGGTAAGTTAGTCCCCTGAACCATCCTTGTGTGTCCCAAGAAAGCCTGTCGTGCTCTCCGTCCTCGCCATCGAGGAGCTAGATGGAGTCTGCAGCTTGAGGCCCCTCACAGTGGGGAGGAAGACACAGGAGCAACCTTTATTTTTTCAAAGCACCTCCTCAAGAGGGCATTTGCCCTGCTGCCGTTTTATAAGAAGCATTTGTAGTGTGTTAGGGCCCATATTCCCGAAGCCACAGTTATGTTCACAACCTCTGCTCGGGGGGAAGGAGCAGGGCTGGCATCAGAGTCCAGAGGCTGGACTCCTGTTTGGTGTCAAGCAGGGACAGAGTGGGTATGCCCAGGGAGGTTTTGGCCTCTTGTCCCCATGGGCTTGGATCACTGGGGGCAAGGGATGCTCCTTGAAAGAGAGCAACAATAGTGCCCAGCTTGTCCTCCAGCTACAGCCCGGGGAGGTCAGGGAGCCCATGTGGCCTGGCTTAGAGCTGGAGAATGGAGCAAGGGACCTGAGGCCCAAGGACCACCTCATGCGTTGGGAATGTGGTTGGTGTCAGGACATGTAATTATAACTGCCAGTGTCACTGCTGTTTCCGGAGCAGGGAATTGTGATCTTTTGTCCCAGAACCAGGGACACTGAGATTGGTTGTGTCAGTGATGCGGGGTCGGTGAGCCGAGGAGTTGAAAGAAAGATTTCTTGGACTCTCAAGATCTGGCAGTAGTGCTCTTTTATTTAGAGAATAGTGTGGAATAGCATGGGGACAGGGCCCATGGGCAGTCAGAGCTGCTGCTGCTGCCGCTTCTGCTGCCCCCGCTGGCATGGGAACAGGACCCATGGGCAGGCAGAGCTGGTGCGTGGGGACAGGACCCACGGGCAGTCAGAGCTCCTGCTGCTGCCCCAAGTTGAGGGTTAGGGCTAGTTTTATAAGGCATGGATATGTGAGTCATCTCTTTACAAGACAAAGGAAAGAACATGAAAAAAAGTTAAAATGGTATCAGTGCAGGTGGTGTCTGGTCATTGGGTGATCCCATGACTTGTAGACAAGAATCAAATCGGATTAAGTAAAGGTTAGAAGCCACCACCCTAAATCAGTTACATGAGATTGCCAGACAGCAACCAACTTAAGTTATTGCCTTCCCCATTAAGAGCTTCGAGGGACAAGGTCATCTCCCTTCTTTCTCCTGGTACAGAGAGGGAGGCACCTTTTACAGATAGAGATTTACCTTACAAATGTAAATGTGTCCCAACAAGGGCAAGTTCCATTCCTCAGAGCCTACTTCCCTGTCCCAGTTTATCAAAAGCAATCAGCCCCAAACAATACCGATGCCAGAGAGCCATATCCTGGGGTGGCCAATTTCAGGTCCCTACAAGGTCATCCCCCCTTTCTTCACAAATGCAAATGTCTCTCAAAAGGGCAAGCAAAATTCCAGTCCTCGGAGCCTGCTTCTCATCTGCAGTTTTAAAAGTAACCAGCCTAAAATCTTCATCATCAGGACAGACTAGGCCCAAGGCCCTGAGAAGGGGAGGACATGCAGAGAGGAGAGGTCAAGGTCATGATTCCAGAGGATTTGGGGCCAGAAGGAGAGAGGGGTCAGCCCAGGGCCGCCAGAAGGTCCCCTCTTTCGTGTCTTTCACCTGTGCAGTGAGGAAGATGAGCAGAGCAGAGCCCAGGCCCTGAGGGAGACGCCCTAGAGATCTGCCTCCTGCAGCCCTGGCATTAGGCTGGACTCCCCACACTCTTGCTATCCCCTGTGTCATATGTAGGAGGGGCCGCCGTGCACATCTGCTCCCCAGATCCTGCAGGTGACACCCCATCGGCAAATTTGCTTACTTGCTCCTGCCAGGGGCGTGCGGGGTGCAGAGGTATTTTCTCCAGAGTTGCTCTGAGCCTCAAGCACCAGGGAAAGCAGCTGCTGAGCTGAGGTGCCTCAAGACAAGGGAGCACAGATCTTTCTGAATTTCTCTCTGGGGGTGTCGAACCCCCTCCCCCATCCTCCTATAAGACCTGGCAGGGCCCACAGACCTCAGCTGAGCACCAACGTGCTGAGCCCTCGGGCTGTGGTGAGTGAGGTCACCTAAATGAGGCTTCCTGCTTTCTGCTCTTGTCCGTAACCTTGTCCGCTGAGACCTCGGGCTGTGGTGAGTGAGGTCACCTAAATGAGGCTTCCTGCTTTCTGCTCTTGTCCCTAACCTTGTCCACTGCCGCCGCACGTAAAGAGTGGGATGATCCCCTTCTAAAGCTGTTTGTTCAGGCTTAACCGCTCCAACAGGATGGCACAAGTGATGGCTACAGGGAGGCCTGGACCAAGAGCCAGGGGCCTCGTTTGGGGGTCACCCTTCCACGGTCTGCTTTGTGACTCAGGTGCAGGTCACTCACCCTTTTGAGCTCCAGTTAGTGTATATGGAAAGGAAAAATCAGTCTAAGCCCCCGGCTCGAGAGAGAAACTAGTGAGACTAGGAAGGTGAAGTGATTTGATAATTTAAGTTTTGCCAAACACGAGGAATTACTTCTACTCAGCATGGTGATTCAGAATCCAGTTCGAGCTCACATTCCCCGTCTCCCAGAGCAGTGTAAGTGAAGAACGTGGTTGTTAGAAAATGGATGAAGATGTCCCAGAGGAAGTGATGCCAGCAAAAATCTTCACACTAAAGGAACCCTTTCCGAGATAGGCACGACTTTGAAAGCACAAAGGATAAAACGTCAGAAGCCTGTCCAGACTGAGAAAGCGGTTCACCAAGGCATGGAAAAAAAGGTTTTCTGTATCGAAGGTTATATGATGAGAATAACCACAAGCAGTGCTCAAACTACTCCTGATAAATTTTTTACAAAGAAACAAAAGAGTTTAATTCTCAAAGTTTAAAATCAGTGTACTAAATAAATAGTAGTTTTACTCTTTTATTCACTTATTTATAACTTCTGTAGGAGAATTCTTAATGTTTTAACAAAAGACAATTCAGTGGCCACAGAAGAATTAAAACTACCTGTGGATTATTAAGATTGCACGGTTTCAGCTTGCACGGTCTTTTTTTTTTTTTTTTTTTTTTTTTGAGGAAGATATGCCCTAAGCTAACGTCTGCCGCCTATCCTCCTCTTTTTGCTGAGGAAGACTGGCCCTGAGCTAACATCCATCCCTATCTTCCTCTGCTTTATATGTGGGGCGCCTACCACAGCATAGCTTGCTAAGTGCTGCCATGTCCGCACCCGGGATCCAAACCAGTGAACCCCAAGCCCACGAAGCAGAACGTGTGCACTTAACCACTGTGCCACCGGGCCAGCCCCTTGCACCGTCATTTTTATGGCCCTGCTCTACGATGCAAAGTAAGGTCAGCCTGTGATTAATTTATTTTCCAGCCTGCTTGTTTTTCATTTGTGTACTGAATGGAATGTAAGGTCCATGCCACAGAGTTACCCTGAGAAGAAGACCATGACGTTTTCACTGGGTGTCCCTCCCTGTCACCCAGAATAGCAGTTGGTGTACCCTAGGCCCTCAATGAATGTTTTTGAGTAAACCAAGGATGGAGGATAGAGGGGGAGTCTGGGTCTGGGGGGAGGGGAGCAGCTGTGCTGGAGACGTCCCTGTGAACATGTCCACCCTGCCCCAGTGCTTCCTGTTGGCCCTCAGGACAGAGGGGATTTTCCTGTCAAGGGTGAAGCCAGTACTCCTGGACCCTGAGCATTTCTCCCCTTCCTCTGTAACAGATTCCGGGGGGAAAGTGCCCGACAGCTGGATGCACCTGGTTTTACTCTCAGTCACAATGACCTTCCTGTGGCTTGGAGTTGGAGGTTTGGGGTCAGTTGGATGTGATAGCAGACCCCATTCTCTCTTTTTCTCCTCAGAAGCACAATTCTTCAGTCTGATGAGGCTGAAGTGTGAAAGTCCCTAAGGTACGTGGTTCTCCAGGGCCAACTGGCAAGTCTGGCACCCTCTCCTTCCCTCTAAACCTCTCCCTCATCTTTGCATCCAAGATCCGTGCTGGCCCCTCTCCCCTCGGACTTTCTATTGACCTGACCCTGTGCTCTTGGGGTGGGAGTTGGGGGACAGCCCCTGGCCCCTCACCTGGCCAGGGCTAACAAAGCCAGGCCCTGGAAACACCCCCAGCCCCCATGTCCAGGCCCACACTGCACCCAGTGGTCTCAGACACAAGTCTCCAGCATCTCAGGGACACAGCTCTGTGATAGCGAGAAAACTTGGCCCCTGCTCTGCTGTCATCTCTCTCCTCCCCCTCATGCTGGACCCATTTGGATCCTCTGGGCCATTCCCTGCCCAGTCCCTCCTTCCCACGGTCCATCTGTGCCACCCAGCCTGGAGTGAGTCCTCAGCCTCCCTCTCCCCTTGTGTCCCTCTAGAAGCACCTTCTTTAGGATTAACTGGCCCGACGCAGGTTGACTTGGATGTCAAGCAGGTCCTCACTGGTGGGCAAGAAAGAGGGACATCCCTTGTTGAGGTCTGGATGTTATTGGACTTGAAGCGAAGCCAGATCTCGTTGAGTACAGGAAGGAGCAGAGAGGGGGAGCAGAGAGGGACAGCAGAGACCTTACATTTTTGAGAAGGCAAAATGTTTCAGGGTAAGGAGGGATATAACTCCAGAGGGAAAGAAGACGTACTGGATCCCCGGAGGAATCTTGTCCCTCAGGGGCTGGGTCAGGAAAATTGAAGATGGGAGAGCTGCTGCATGGGGCCGCTCACCAGGGCCTCCTGTCAGCCTGGCGCCTCTGAAGACCATCAGATGGGCCGGCCCGGTTGCGCAGTGGTTAAGTGTGCATGTTCCACTTCGGCGGCCCTGGGTTCACGGGTTCGGATCCCGGGTGTGGACATGGCAGCGCTTGGCAAGCCATGCTGTGGTAGGTGTCCCACATATAAAGTAGAGGAGGATGGGCACAGATGTTGGCTCAGGGGCAGTCTTCCTCAGCAAAAAGAAGAGGATTGGCAGCAGATGTTAGCTCAGGGCTAATCTTCCTCAAAAAAAAAAAAAAAAAAAAAAAGCCAGCGGAGGTGAGGTCTTCCTCTTGTCGGGGTGGGGAAAATCCCCTTTCTACCCTTCTTGTGTGTTCTTATGGCTGGACTAGTAATAAAGTTGACACAAGAGCAGATCAACAGGAGACAACACACTTTAATATATAGTGGAGATCAGAGAGAAGTGAAGCTCAAGGAGTGAACACAGCAGGCATAAGTGTATCTTGTACACAGATAATGAATTTGTGAGGAATGACAGGACAAAGAAGCTTAAGATGTGAGGTACGTTATTGGGCTAATGCTTGAGGTAGTCAATTAGCGAGGTCTGTTTATGCAGGCTTCTGGGCCCCGAATCACTAGCTCTCAAGATCAGGATGTAAGGAGAGCACCTTCCACGTGGGGGATTTATTTCCTGCTTTCAGGGGAACAGAGCCAGGAGAGTCAGAATGCCCTTTTTGTTTCTCAAGTAACTTTAATTCTAAATGATCCATATGCTATTGTGGGATATTTTGGGGTGGCCTGCCATGGGCCCCAACACTGTGAAACCCAGGCAGGGCTGTCCTCCAGTGTACCCCCAGTTCCTCTTGGATCCAGAAAAGGAGCTGGGCTTTGCTTTTTTCCTTCTACACTTTGTGGCTTGTCTTGTTCTCCAAAATAGCTCGGTAGACTTGGGTAGAATTCCTTGATTTCTGTTGATACCAGTGGAAGGGTGCCCCTTAGCTTCATGGCCATACCCCAGGCTCAAGGAGAGGTGGGCTGACATGCCAGGGCTGCGGAAGAAGAGCTGCCCAGTCAGCACAGGCCAGGAAAAGGAAACCAGCAGCAGAGAAGCATTCCAAAGGCCCCAGCAAGACCCGGGGGCAGATACTGTGGGATCCCAGTAGGAATTCTGTGAAAGAAGAAAGGGATGTGGGGTAGGACACCCCCCTGATGGTCTTAGAGGCTACTCTGGCCAGTGCAACAAACGAGGACCCTGAGGAGAACAAGTGACCAGGATGTGGTAGAAACGTCCCCTAAATCCATGACTAGGCCCTGGGAGGCCTGATCCTGGGCAGGAAGGACGGCCCTTCCTGCACATGTGTTCTTGGTGCTCCTGCCTCCGATGCCATAGCGTGTCCCCTGGACAAACAAGTGGAGTGGACAGAGGAGTGTCCCTTGCCTTATGGGGGAAGAGTGTTTGGCTCATACTTCACATTTTTAGATCGTTTGAAGACATTGATCTCTCCTGCCTCCTTGCATCTCCTGGACACTGGGATCCTATATATACTTCCTAAGCTTGGACCTCTGCAATTTTCCTGTTTCCCCGAGGTTCCTGTGAAGCCTGTTGGTCAGCTCTTTCTCCTGAGATTGTCCAAACACTCGAGGGGGCAGATCTGTCCAGAGGGTGGCTGCCAGTTACTCACTGCATGGAGCCGAGTCCTGGACTCACTGAGCAAAAAGGAAAATTAACAATGAACTTTAGAATTTCCCAGAAGCCTGTTTGAGATACTGGATGAAAGATACCAGCAGTGCCTTTGCACCCAGTGGCTGCTCAGTTATCAGGGACACTTATGATTATCTTTGTAAATGTACCATTGAGTTGTAAATCTCAATTTCCTACAGTTGAGTTGTAAAAGTGATTGCCTGGGAGTTAAAATGCCACAGGGCACATTCCAGTTTAACTGTTTTATGCCAAGTCTGCTGATATGGATGGTAGAGATTTGGAGAAAGCGATCTCCAGGAAAGATACCAAAATGGAGAACATCCTTCAAAGAATCCCAGCCTCCTCACCAGTGGAATTTAAGAATTGTTTGGGCATCACAATGCAGGGGGTGGAGAATAGCCTGGAGATTCTTTGGATGGAGAGCTTCCCTCTCTGTTCTGAAACTTCAGAAGAACCAATATGTGATTCAGCCTAGCATCCCTAACTTGGCAGATCCTTAAATGTCAAATACAGATTCAGGTCTCCTGAGGAAGAAGGTACTGGTATTTGTGCCCCGGGCTTAATACGGAGAGAGAGAAAGTTTTATTTGTGCACCTAATGGGGCTCTACTCAGAATCCTTGTATCTAAGAAGCCTAGGGGTGGGGCCAGGAGGGGCTTTTTGAAACTGAGTTTGCATCAGTTTCCTAGGACTGAGGAAACAGCGCTTATCAACATATACTCGGGAAGGGGCCTTTGGAGATCCTGTTTGGGGTCAAGGCCCCTGGAAAATGCCTGGACCTGATCTGCCTGTGAGCGGTCACAATGTGGAAGAGGACACCTGAGCCTACAGAGCGTCCCCTGGTAGCAGCTCCTTGCTGACAAGTATGCGTGCGTTTGGTCCATGGTTATTTCTTTCCCTGCATCCAAGATGCCAAAGAGCCCATGGCGCTGACCCCTCAGTGGCTTTCAGAACTGGACCAGTCATGACACAGGTTTGGTCGCCAATGTTATTCTGGCCTCTCCCCAGCCGGTATTCCTGCATTTCATCTGCTGAAGCCTGTTTACTAGGCTGATCCCAGCATTCTGAGAGGAAACACCCTTTACCTCCAGGGAGGGAGGAAGATTGAATCTCCTCCCTGCTGGAACCCATCACCCTGGGTTTACAGGCTCCACCTGGTCTCTGTAGCACTGCCTGTTCAGTTTCTCAAGTCCATCTGTTGAAAAGTTTAGAATTACTTTACCTTGTCTAAGGTAATGCCCTTGGTCCTGTTACAGACGCCCGGCACCCCATTCTCCTGGTCAGCTCCTAGTTGTAATTTGGACCAGACTGTCCCTCAGTTGTAGCTCTGTCCCACTGTGAATGGGCACACGATTTGCTGTTTTAGGTGATGTCAAGTGTAAGTGACTATTTGATACTCAGGAATTTGATCTTGTTCGTTTCTTTTTCTTTTATGCTGACACCGTTCTCTGCATAAAGCTGCCTTAACTTGAACATTTAGGAAATTTTGATGTGGCCGAAACGCTCCCAACAAGTACACCTTCAGGTTGGTTTTCTTTTCTTGAATAGACATGATTCACTCAGTTGTATGGAGAAAGTCAAAAAACCCAGTCGGGGTAAGTGGATGGAGAGCCAGTATAACATTTGGCTTTCAACTGGAAATTGAAATTTCAGGTAGGCTCTGCAAAGAGAAGTGAGGCCAGAAAGGCCTGTAATTGCTTCTGAGGAGCCAGAGCAGGCACCCTGAGGCCTACACCAGTAGAGTCACTGCCCTGGTCCTCCCCAGGCCTGAGCAAGGACTCCCTGCACCACGCCCCCATCTGGTGAGTTAAGAGCCTAAGGCTCAGCACGCTCCCATTTTACTGCCCTCTGCCAGGGCCTCCATGGGCCCTGTGGGCCAGGATCCATAGAGAGTTTCCCTTTCTTTCCTTACAAATGAGAGGGCTTTGCTTTTACCTTTAAATGTAGCTTTACCTTAATCCCAAACATTTTGGTTGCTGCTTTGGTTTATGCCATTTTAGAGATGTTTACAATATGTATGGGTTGTTTTTCTTTTTGCTTGAGGAAGATTTGCCCTGAGCTAACTTCCATGCTAATCTTCCTTTCCTAATTTGCAAACCCCAGGCTGCCAAAGCTGAGTAGGCAAACTTTACCACTACACCACCGGGCCAGCCCTAAAATTTTTTTTAATGACTGAACAGCACCCATTATGTGGGTGTTCCTTCATCCCTCCCATCTGGGGTATTTGTTGGATCTTGGAAGGAGGTGGTGCTGGGCCACATGAGGCTCCTTATTCCACCTGTTCTCAACCCTTGAGTGATAATCAGAAACTTTTCCCTGGGAAGGGTACAGTCAGCTCTCAGGCTCCCGGGTACTCACTTGGTGGTGGGGCTGGAATTACATGGAGTTGTGGGGGGATATTGATTGGGGTCAGTGGTCATCTCACCCATCCCTGGGTGCCTGGTGAGATGCTTGTCCTGCTGTGGGCAGAGGTAGAGCCATGACTTTGTGGCCACCGAGTAGAGAGTGGAATCTAGTAAACTGAGGATTCTCTGACTGTTGCCAGAGCAGTGACTTTGGTCTTGAGTTGGTTTCCTCAAGGGTGGAGGGACGATCAGCTTGTGTCCTCGGCCTTACAAGGATTCCCTGTTCCATGGATGTCTCCTCAGGACTCATTTCGGAGCAGATTCTTCAGGATGGGCGTCCAAGCCCCGCGCAGACTCCTGGAACTGGCAGGTCAGAGCCTGCTGAAGAACGAAGCCTTGGCCATCGCCGCTCTGGAGGAGCTGCCCATGGAGCTCTTTCCGCCACTGTTCACGGCCGTCTTTACCGGGAGACACAGCAATATCCTGAAGGCGATGGTGCAGGCCTGGCCCTTCCGCTGCCTGCCCCTGGGAGCCCTGATGAAGGAGCAGCAGCCTCACCAGGAGACCTTCCAAGCTGCACTAGATGGACTCGATGTCCTGCTTGCCCAGGAGGTTCGCCCCAGGTGAGGGTGATCCAGTAGGCTGGTAGGGCCCTGGGAACCCGAGCAAGATAGAGCTGGGGGTCAGAGAGGGTGCAGGGCCCATAGGGCCAGCCGGAGGCTTCTGAGGGCACCAGTGGGGAACCTAAGGGAAGCCTTGGGGCCATTGCTGAGGTCACTCTGGGAGCAGGCTTCTGGACATGTAGTGCTGTTTAAGATGCTGAGGTGACTGAAGGAACATGTGCCCATCCTTTCCCAGTGGCACTTAAAGGTACAAGAAGTGGGGACCAGGAAAGATCCCAGTAGTGCAAGGAGAGCAGCTGCTGTCTGGGCTGTGGAGTAGAAGTGCAGGTCTGCTCCTTGCCTAGACTGAGGTCACGCTCTTAGTCCCTGTTGACCCAAAGCATCTGAGTCTATCTCCTGTTCTCTCTGCAGGAGATGGAAACTGCAAGTGCTGGACTTACGGAAGAAGGTTCACCAGGACTTCTGGACCGTGTGGTCTGGAACTAGGGCTGGTATATGCTCCTTCTTGGAGCCAGAGGCAGTCCAACCCATGAGGAAGAGGCGAAAAGTGGATGGTTTAAGGGTGGGGCCGAAGCCGCCCTCAGCTCCTGTGGAGGTGCTCGTAGACCTTTGCCTCAAGGAGGGCACCCCTGACGCGTCCCTCGCCTACGTCATTAAGAAAGTCAAGCAGGGCAGAGGTTTAGTACATCTGTGCTGTAAGAGGCTGAAGATTTTTGCAGTGCCGATGCAGAATATTAAGAATATCCTGAAAATGGTGCAGCTGGACTCTATACAGGATTTGGAAGTGAATTGCACTTGGAACCTGTCCACCCTGGGGCAGTTTGCTCCTTACCTGGGCCAGATGGGCAGTCTGCGCAGGCTCCTTCTGTCCCACATCCGCATGTCTTCCCACACTACCCCGGCGAAGGAGGAGCAAGGTGTCAGCCAGTTCACTTCCCAGTTCCTCAGTCTGCACCACCTCCGGGAGCTCTATTTGGACTCTATCTCCTTCCTCAAAGACCGCCTGGACCAGTTTCTCCGGTGAGGGATGGCGCGGTTTCTCTGCAAACCAGGGCAAGCCCCTTTTCATTTCAGCAAAGAGTAATGAGCATCTGCTGTGTGCCAGCCATCAACAGTGCCAGAGTGCACGAGTCACTAGAAGGTCCACACAGTGTCATTGCTCTGTACCCAAGCATGTTGTCACATAACCACCAGATAGAGCTTAGAGCTATGAACTAGGACAGATGCCATTCAAAGGGACTCCTTGCATATACATAATAGGGGCTTTGGGCCTGGTGAGGGTGGCTTTGGGAATTCTTCCTTAAGAAGTGATGTCTAAGTTAAGATGATTGAAAATAACTAAGTCAGGAGGGCATTGACGAAGGGAAGACCCATCAGACGTGAGATTTCACATCGTAAGCTCTGTGCTCAACAGCTTTGTTAATAGGAGCCTCTCCCTCCAAACCTGCCTCAAACTACCTGTCTGTAAAGGGTTACTTTAGGCTCCAGCTAAGGTAATGTGTCGAAAATGCATGAGTCTGGAGATGAGGAAGCCAGAGTGAAGAATTGTGAAATGTGACGGCTGGTTTGTTGGTGATACAGTGATCTAGGCTAGTCCCTGCAGGCTGGCAGCCCCCTAGGGATGTTGGCAGACCTTGCCCAGGTTAGCCTTTTATGCTCATCTCCCAGTAGCCTTGGGTACAGTGATACTGGTAATGGGGGTCCAAGCAGCAGCAGAAAGAAGCCTGAGTTGAAAGCATTTCCAGTTGCACCTCCGAATACTAACATTTCCTGATTCCCTCTCCTGCTTGAGGCATGGGGTTGAGCTTCCCTCTGAGCACCTCCCATTGTTATCTTGGTGGATGCTCACAACACCCATGTGAGGAGTATGCGTGCTTGGCTTGACATAGGAGCAAAGGGAGCATTTGAGGTTTCGTTCCCTTGACTTAGTCACACAACAAAGAAGTGATGGAGAAAGGACTCCACTCAAACTTGGACTGACTTGAATGCCTCTTCTTTGCACTACACGCATCCTGGGGGTTAACTGTCATCTGGAAGACTGGGTTTTGCTGAGATGGTCCTCTCTTCCCTGGAGGCCTGAGTCATCCCCACCTCCCTCCGCCCACTACCTACATCCCCCAGGACTAACTGCTCTGTCTCTCCCCAGGTGCCTGAAGACCCCCTTGGAGACCCTGTCGATAACTAACTGCCTGCTTTCGGAATTAGACTTGACCCGTCTGTCCCAGTGCCCAAACATCAGTCAGCTGAAGCACCTGGATCTCAGCGGGGTCACCCTGAGCTGTATAAGTCCTGAGTCCCTCCAAGTTCTGATAGAGAGAACCTCCGCCACCCTCCAGGACCTGGACTTAGATGAGTGTGGGATCATGGACTCCCAATTCACTGCCATCCTGCCTGCCCTGGGTCGCTGCTCCCAGCTTACCATCCTCAGCTTCAGTGGAAACCCCATCTCCATGGCCGTCCTAGAGAACCTGCTGCGCCACACCATCGGGCTGAGCAAGCTGAACCACGTGCTGTATCCCGCCCCCCTGGAGACTTATGAGGTCGACTACGGCACCCTCCACCTGGGCAGACTGGCCTATCTGCACGCCAGGCTGAAGCAGATGTTGCAGGAGTTGGGGCGGCCTAACATGGTCTGGTTCAGTGCCAACCCCTGTCCTTACTGTGGCGACAGGACCTTCTATGACCCGGAGCCCATCCCGTGCCCCTGTTACCTGCCTGCCTAGCTGGGTGCACATATCATAGGCTTTATTCTGGGCACTTGGACACTGAAGCCTAGACATAAGTGCATCGTGAAGGAACACAAAAGCCACAGTGTCAGATAGCTTCTCAACGTGAGCAGGGGAAAAGAAAACATGGTTCAGAGGGGGAGGGGATATTGAGTTGGGAGTTGATGGGATCTTTGGGGAGATGCATCCTATTGAGTTAGAAATAGGAATCTGAATTTCTAGAGGGGAATTCCGGCTTGGGAGGTAGTTGTGGGAGTTATCCCTGAGTGGATGGTTATAAAGAAATGGTCAGAAATAAAGAGAACCTTAATGTCAACCATCTGGTGTCCTCTATGATGTATGAACCTGAGTCTCCAGTTTGAACCTCAGGAATCTCCAGTTACTGATTAAATAAGAAGGCATGAGCATCCTTCTTGGATGCTCTGGGCTTCACGAGGCTCGGCCCGAGGAGTTCACAGCACCATTTATCGTTCCCTCCATCTGGTTCTTCTCTCTGGTACGTCTCCCACCTCTTCACTTAGTTCTGTGGCTGTTCAGTCGGTCAGCTCACACAGGGTGCATCCTCAGGGCCTGGAACATACTAAGTGGCTAATGGCATTGTTAGAGTAAAGGTTCTTCACAGGGACCCTCGCTGCGAACTCCACTGAGGCCCTGGACTCGAGCGCTCATCCCCCATGGATCCAGTGGATCCGAAACTGCCATCCTTGGCCTTTGGCTGTGCCAGGATAAGGCTTCACTGTGTACAAGTCAGATCCCCAGGACTGGAGGGGACGTCCATCCTGCACATGAACCGGAGCCTCTAGCCCTCCCTGGGCCCAGCCCATGACTGACACCCCACTGGGTCCATCTCCTTCTTGAATTAGTTGTAGTCTGTTAAAACATCTAAATTCCTTTAGAAAAATACTATGATCATTAGGCATGTAACATTTGTTTATATCCCACGTTAAAAATACAGTATCCTTCTGGGGAGCTAGGTGATATCAATGCAGGAATGACTTTCTCCCCAGAAGTTTCCCCTTCCTCTCTATCAGGGAGGTTGCAAGCCAACTCTGAGTCAGTGAAATGCCCTGGTTTTGGGGTCCCAAGACTGAAAAAAAACCCATGCCAGATCTTGGTGAACACTTAGATGGAAGCAAGTGAATGTCAGAGTTGAGAGTTGCGGTGTGGAGGAGCCACCCCACTGGACAATCCATCCAAATGGAGAGAAGGTATATTTGGGGTTGGACCCCATGGTCAGTGGACAGTTGGCTGCCCAGTAGCTACCTGCCACTGCATCCAGGCCTGAGGCTGCCTCACCTCCCTCACTGCATGGCTTCCCAGGGAAGCAGCTGGGAGCAGACCACAGACCAAGGCCCAGGGGCAGAGCTCCATCTGCACATTTCTTGAGTGTGAGCAGGTCAGTCCTGCTTATTCTGTCTCCACTGCCTCTCATTTGGTGCCAGACTCTCGTGTGCATGCTGCTGTCTTTGCTGGGTGTCAGTGACTCCCTATCTTGCCACACACAGCAGCTAACTTTTCTCCGTTCTCTTCCCACAGCAGTTACCCTCTGTCCCCCTATTCCAGCCTACTACCATACGCCCTGCAAGAAAGGACCAGAAATGGGCCCATCAGCTTGTAAGCACACTTTTCCATTTCTGAAAGAGGAGGAAATGCAGAAATCCATATAACCTATGGTGTGCCCAACAAAAAGGGATCGGGAAAAGATCTCATTTTTCCCGACATGCACCCTGTCTCAGCATCTCCAACATAGACCCAGGTTACAGGGAATATTTTCCAGAACGAGAACCAGCACATGTAGAATTTGAAGGAAAGTGTCCAGAGAAGACAGGTTCTCTAGGAAGAACAGCAAAGGGAAAGCATCTCATTGTCTCTGCATCAGGGTCTTCAACCACAGAATAGAGATAGTAATACTCGCCTCATAACATTCTGGTGACATTCACCTATGAGGTTACTTATGGAAAGCACTTGTCGAAGTGCCCCATTCGTGGATGGCCCCATCTGGGATAGCAATGATCGTGGATCACCTGATACAAGTAGAGAAAGAAAAACAGAAGTCAGCACTGCATCTTCTAAAGCAGGTGCTCTACAGTTGCGACTTTATTTGGTCTAGAGACCTCACTTGAGAGAGAAATCCGGCAAGATTCTTTATTCAGAATTTAGACTTTGCCATCAAAATATTCAAAGAGGCATGGTATCAAGACATTGAGATTTGGAAAAATTGAGTTTGGATGGAGAGCTCATCAGTGAGGATGGCCATTCAAGAGCCATGGGGAGAGCCAGTCCTGATGGCCTAGGAATTAAAGTTCAGTGCACTCTGCTTCAGCAGCCTGGGTTCGGTTCCGGGGTATGGAATCATACCACTTGTCTGTCAGTAGCCATGCTGTGGTGGTGACTCATATAGAAGAACTGGAAGAACTTAAACTATACACAACTATGTACTGGGGCTTTGAAGTGGAGAAAAAAGGAGGAAGATTGGCAACAGATAATAGTGAAGGGTGACTCTTCTCCTGCACACACACACAAAAAAAGGGGGGGGGGGGCGGCCATGGGGAGGTGGTGGTTGCTGGTGGCCCTGTGGTGGAGAGTGGTTTCTAGGTTATTATAAAGTAAGCAGGGAGAGTATGGCACACACAGTAGTGTGTTTGGTATTAACGATTCACCCTGGAGCCGCCGAATATGCAGAAAGACAAGCAGATTGAATTTGGGGTGGCTGAAAGACACAGATGTGAGAGAGAAGAATCTAAATAGAAAAGAGCCAGAAGGGCCGGTCCCTGTGGCCGAGTGGTTAAGTTCCCGTGCTCCACTGTGGCGGCCCAGAGTTTCACCAATTCAAATCCTGGGCACGGACATGGCACCACTCATCAGGCCACACTGAGGAAGCATCCCACATGCCATAACTAGAAGGACCCACAGCTAAAAATGTGCAACTATGTACTAGGGGGGTTTTGGGAGAAAAAGGAAAAAGTAAAATGTTGAAAAAAAGAAAAGAAAAAGAAAAGGGCCAGAGCACAACCTGACACAGCTATGTCCAGGGAATTATCCAGAGGCAGAAATAAAACCCAAACAAGGCCTGAGGCAGAAGGAAAAGGTCAAACATTTTTAGGAGAGCCAGTTAGGGAGAAATGAAATATTTCCTAATGCTAACAAGAACTAGTGACTTGACCCCAATTCCAGATCAGTGTTAGGAACCCAGATTACCACTACTACTACTGTTACAGAAACAGGTTCATTTTGCACATTGCATGAAAAGCCAGTCACCAAAACAACGAGTTTGGAGCAGAGAAAGCATTTATTCACGAGGCAGCCGAGCGAGGAGATAGAAGAACAAATCTCAAATCCACCTCCCTGAAAATGGAGATTAGGGATATTTACGGGGTACGGGCCAGGGTGGTCTGAAGTGTGGGGATAGAAGGTTGGAGGTGGAGGGGAGTGAGGTAATTGACAATCTGTGCAAGCACAGTCAAGCTTCATGGCTCTTCATAGGAGGTATGTTCACAAAACTGTGGCATCGGCATGATCTGAGGGGGTAGTTTTTAGCCCCCTTGACATCAGGAGGTCACTTATCGGACATCTTTGTAGGCCCAGTTGGTGGACTGGTGGTCTCAACCAGCCTGAACTGGACAGGGGTTGACTCGTAGCTGCTGAAAAGCAACTCAAGCTTCTGTTACCGTGGTGACGCAAGTGTCAAGGACGTGATCTATGAGGAACCTAGTGGGAGTTGGCTAATATATTGCCTATCTGCATGACTTTTAAAATAAGCAGCACAGCTAAGAATTGGCGAGTGAACAACTAAAAGCTACTGCCTGAAAAAATTTTGGTTACTAGCTACCTAATCATCAGTGACTAACTGTCCATTGGTTTCACTACTAGTAAGGTGGGAGGGGCTAAATAACTAGGTTACAGAGAAATCGCTCAGATTCTGCAGCTGACGTGAAGTCACTGTGAGAAGTACATTTTCATCATCTGTCCAATCTCATATCTTTGTGGGATCTTGTGTCTTAGTCTCTGAAACTTAAAAGGAGAAATTGGCTGATCAAGGAGGACCTGTGGGCTGAGCTGAATTCTGGTTCAGAATTCGTCCTCCGCCCTGAAAGAGCAGAACTTCAGCAACAGGAGACAAACCTGGGGTTCTCACAGGAGGGGGTTGGTCCAGGCACCTAAGAGCTAGAGAGAGATGATCTTAGAGGAGAGAAGAGAGGAAGAACAAGAGGGAGAGGGAATCCAGGACTCAAACAAGCAGAATTTAATATAAGATGAAGAGGCAGGACCTCAGCGGGCTGGAGAAGAAAGCGATTGCCCACAGAACTTTTATTGAATGTCTTCTTCAACAAATCTCCTTCCAATCCCAAGAAAGTTGGAGCAGCGACATGAGGCCCTGAGTCTGTGTCAAGGGAAACTGCAGACTGCAGAATTGCAGGCTGTCGGCACTGCCTGGATCTGAAAGTGCCAGAGTGGGTTTCATACAAAATGCGAAAGTGCCAGGTGGATCCTGGTATCTGTCAGACTTCTGCATACTCTCCACGCTCATGACCCTGCATGCTCCTGCAAAGCTTTATTCTAATCCACAGACTATTCAATATCGTATATTCTTTTGATAAGATGGCTCATACTTTCTTCATTTTACTCCATAAATCCATAAGAAGATCCATAAGCTCCACTTGCTTCTTTATTCCTCCTTAGCTCAGTTCCACTAACATTTTAGTTGAGGGATAGAGAAATGGTTCCACACAATCTCCTTAAAAGGGCCAGAATAGGGGCTGGTTTCGTGGCATAGTGGTTAAAGTTCTGCATTTTCTGCTCCGTCGGCCTGGGTTCGCAGGTTCAGGTCACCAGCATGGACCTACTCCACTCATCAGCCATGCTGAGTCAGCGACCCACATACAAAATAGAGGAAGCCTGGCACAGCTGTTAGCTCAGGACTAATCATCCTCAAAAATAAAGAGGAAAAAATAAAATAAAATTTAAAAAAATAGTGATAAGAATGGATCACAACAGAAGTGAAATTTGATTGACATATAACTGCTCTTGTCTGTTAAAGCTTTCTCCTCAGTGAGCAAGGAGCCCATGCTATAGAGCAGAGTTTCTGTCCCGGTTGACAGGTATTAACCCATAGGAGCTAGAAAGACTGGTGAGGGAAGAAGGGTGTGCTGCTTCTTTCACTCGTACGATAACAAATATAAAAAGGTTTATTAGTGTTGGGGTGGGGGAAAATCCCCTTTCGACCCTTCTTGTGTTCTTATGGCTGGGCTAGTAATAAAATAAAAATAAAAGACCAGATTAACAGGAGAGAAACCCAGTTTAATACATACGTATTAG